ACAAAGCATGCAGTAAATTTGTTTCCTCTAATTTGTTTCTTTCTTTGCCATAGCAATTTTTAAGTATCAGGGTTATGAATTGCAAGGGTACGCTAAAAGTAGGGGCAATCTTTCTTTGCCACTTATAAATTGCAGGGACACGCTAAAAGTAGCTTCTTTCTCAAAACTTTAATGTGTTTTTACAGTAATTTCAGTTCTGCAATTAATGATAAATTAATTATAGGAATACTTTAGACAAACAACAAGACTGAATTTTTTAATTTCAATATGATTTTGCAGGGAAGGAATTTGAAGTGATTGAGAATATGCAAAGAAGTCAAGTGCCGTTCAAATGGAAGCAGTATGAGGTAATTTTTCTCTCTCCAAATCTCCCATAAAAGTAGGACATTGTTAAGAAATATTTTTAAAGAAAAAGATCTGGGTGTTGAGTTGTGAACAAAATTTAATTTATATAGTTTAATTCTTCTAGTCTGTCATTACTTCTATGATTAATCATATTCATAATGAAATTTGCATTAAACTTTTTTGGGGTTCTAATTAATGTAACATATGCTTTTTCTTGTCAAGTAATAAGTTGAAAGATTGTAACAATCTTGTTGATGTGTATTCGAGATGTCCCGGTCCCGTCCCGACTCCTTTTGGGACGGGACAACTTTCGGAACGGGACACGGGACAAATTTTGAATTGCGATTATTTTTCGAGACGGGCCACGGGATGGTGGTGTCCCGATTCCGTCCCGTCCCGTGAACACCCCTAGACCTATGCCACAGAGAGAGGCGCCTTGAGCACCAAAAAGCACGGTGACACGAAACACTCTGATATGGAGTGACTGAACTCCCACAATTCACAGGAACGCAATACTATGTAGGATCAAGAAGGGGGGGGGGAATGATCTGTGTCATGGTCACTTGCTAATAGCAAATCCCAGGCTTTCACTGATATTACAAATAGTTGAACTGTTGCAAGGATTAGATTCACTTTTTCTTTGTTTTTCATGCAGGAATTAACAGATTCCATTGTTACAAACACTAATTAATAATCAGGAATCAGAGAGACAGATTACAAAAACAAAAAATAACAAAAGAGAAACAAGCTGACCAAAATTCAGAAATTAACAAGAAAACCCCAAACAGAGCTTAAAACAAATCGATCATGGATTCTCTCCTCCTCGCGTCTGAAGCTCGAGCCGTCATCATCCTTGTGCATGGCTGAAAATAAATTCTGATGTGTCGTGATTAACAAGCCCTCCTTCAAGATCAACATTCGGAGCATGATCGAGTTCAAGAGCTTGAGCAAGCCATGCAAATTGAATACAACATGCATGTACGTGTTATATTTACTGAGTCTCTTCATTAGTTTTTCATATCTGATATCAATTTCAATATCTCAATGATTCTCAATTAACACGTATTCTCTCTTTTACAAGTTGAATGATAGAATTTGTGGTAATTAAAGGACATGGATATATATTGAGATTGAACAACCAAGAGACGCAGCCGTTAAAGCACACATACGTACAGCTTGTGACATGATTCTGACAAAGCAGCTAACAGTTTGGAAAATAAAACAAGTAAATAAGTAATTGCCAATAAAAGCTTCTTCTTCTTCCTCTCGTTTTCACGTGAGAATGAATAATCACACATGACATTAATGAAGTACCAGAATTCTGGGCGGTCTGTGACTTTTATGATTGGATCATTAATTCTCTTGCATTCCGTATGCTTTTGTCAGAACCTATGTGGAGTTTATCTTTTGAAAAAATTACATTCTCTAACTTGTTTTTTTTTTAAAATAAAATTTGCTATGATTCTTATCTGTAATTAATTTTTTTAAATGATTTTGAAATATAATTCTCTCTTATTTTTTTTTCATTGTACTCAGTCACTTCAATATTATTCATTCCAATAGAAGTAGAAGAGATAGATAGACTTTGATATAAAGTATTTGATAGGGCATTAGTTTTATTTTTTATATTGTATTTATTTAAATTCATTGACTATAAAAAATAATGTAGTACAAATTTGAAATATTTTTTATTTGAATATGAGTAAAATTGAAAGTTTATTTTTTTTTAAACAAAGTTAATGATTTTTAGTTTTGATAGATAAAATATAGGATAAAAGGGCAAAAATACTCATAAAATGATTAGTTAGAGAACTTAGTATCCTAAAATGAGAAAAAGAATAAAAATACTCATAATGTTACATGAGTGAGTGCAAAAGTAACTAAACCGTTAGCTTTGACCAAATCAATTAACTTTAACCATTAAATACTAACTATACATGTCATGTGTCAGTTTTTACTGACATAGACTAATAAAGTGGTAAAAATACTTATGAAGTAGTCGGTCAGGAGCAAAAATACACATAATGTTATTAGAACTTGTGCAAAAGTGATCATTTCATCAAATTCGTTAAATGTTGACTGTTTAGCTAACACCAAAGTAGAAGTTGATTATTTTTTCGCTAATGTAGACAAAAGATATTCCTATATAAATTTTTATGAATGTTGATCGATCATCGTATAAGGACACATAATGTTATTTTAGTAGATGCAATAATAATCAATATGTCAAAATCCATGCCACATGTTTTCTTTTCATCACCACGTATCTCGCCACCTTTGTTCCTTCCTCTTTACTCATTTTTCTTGTTTGCAAAACCTAAAATTCATCGTAATAAGATAGGTTGTACACAATTAAAAATTGAGACTGAGCACACTTCTTACACTACCTGACCTTAAGAATATTGTTACAACCTTAAGTAATTTTATTCATGATAGATTTAAAAATTTTAAATAGTTTTCACCACTGTTGCAAAGAAACAAGCAATTTAATTTCATATTCGATCAAAATGATATTTTCTCATATGATATTCATACATTGATCGATTAACCTCTAGAGAATTTGATTTGGAAATATTTTTTATTCATATCAGCAAAAAAATGGTCAACTTCTACTTAGGTGTCAACTAAACGATCAACATTTAAGAGACTTAATGGATTAATAACTTTTGCACCAACTCTGATAATGTTATGGGTATTTTTACCCCTTTATTGGTCCACCTCAGTAAAAATTGATACATGGCATGCACAATTAATATTTAACAATCAAAATTAACGGTATTAGGTCAAAGTTAATGATTTGGTCACTTTTGCACTCATTCATATAATGTTTTGGATATGTTTGTCCCTTCCCTCACTTTAGGATACTATGTGTGTCTCTGACTAATCACTTTATGGGTATTTTTGCCCCTCTATCCTAAAAAATATGAAGTATGAGCATAAGGCTTTTTTTTTTTCAAAGTATCATGTTGAAATATATAAAGTATTTTGGGTTTTTTTTTTTAGCTAATAAGTTTTTTTCTGAAAATACTCTTAATTAAGGGTACAAGTCATGATATTTTTTTAATTAGTGAGAAATAATTCAATTAAATAAAAGTGTCTTATAGTACCAAATGAATGGAGAACTTCCTTTGATCCAAAATATAATCATTTTTCAAGAAAAATCTGCATACTATTAAAATTCTTATTCTTATATAAAAATATATATTATTTTTCTTTCTTACACTTAATCCTAATTATTAATGCATTTTATAATAAGTGAGCGGTAACTTTATACAATAATCTATATTACTAAATAAAAGGGATAAAATAAAAAATTATATTTATATATATTAGGTTGCTTATATTTTGAGTTAGGATTTGTTAAGAAAATAATTATATTTTACATTATACGGAATAATTAGTTAATATTTATAAAAAATCAATTAATAAAAAAATTTAGTTTGCAGTACATAAAAGCTGGCAAGAATTCTAAAAGGAAGTGGAAGTTGAAAAGCTCAGAGTTCCGACAAACATGAAATGAAATGGAGGTGAAAAAATTACTAGCACATGAATAACTTACCTTTTATGGAATAATGTTTGTCCTTGCAAAGGAAAAAAGATAAAACTTTATCTTTCTCTTTCATATTTCTGTAGCAACAACCTCCTCTTCGGCATGTTCCCCCACTATCTTTGTTTAAAAAAAAAATAAAAAATTGGCCTTCATATTATGTTAGATCTTACGCAATGCTTTTCCCTCGCCCTTCCCTTTCTATAATATTGGGAGAATAACGATAAAGTCTTAAATTAAAATTTTTATAATAATTAAATTTTCAATAAAATTTTTAAAAAATAAATTATAAATAATAATTCAAGAATCTCAATTATAAAAGATGAGTTACATTTAAAATTTAAATATCTTATTTATAATTAAAAAATTTAAATTTCTAAAGATTTAAAATAACAATTACTTGTCCATTTTATAAGTTACTCACCAAAATTAACGTGGGTTAGTTTAAATTTTAAATTTTGCTGAAAAGTACTTTTAAAATTGCATGTCAAATATTACAAAAATTAAGAGAAAATAACTTATGTGAAAGATAAAAAAAATTAAAATGTGACTCATGAAAAGAAAAGGAGGGGGCATAACTTATTTTTAAAAAAATTTCATCGAAATCCCAGCTGTAAATAAGTTTCTTCTTCGGACGTGTCATTTAGACTGAGGCACTGACTAGTGACTTGATATGAAGCGCCGCCAATGGCGTGAATGTTATATATTCTTTCAAGCGAGGGCAAAATAGTCATTAAATAATTATAACTCTCAAGTAGTTTCTGCCTGTTTTCGAGGAAGTGGAACTGATCGACTTCCTTTGAAGTCTTGCTTAATTTGCCCATATCATCGGATTTTTTTTTTATTTTTATTTTTGGTTTTGTTTTGACTAAATGGATTTCTTTTCCTTATTTTATATATTCTTTTGTAAAAAAATTTCTTTTTTGGCTTTTGGGATGAAACCTTAACGAAATTCTTCAGACATTTACATTCATTTAGCTTTATTGAACTTTAAAAACGAGGCTTCGCCCTCAAAATCTTGAATCAATATTATCATGGAGTATTTTATGGTAAGAAGTACGTTTAAATCTCACTTAATACAATTAATTATTTTGACATCAATGCTCAGTAAAACTTTATGGTAATTTTTCCCATTTTATAATATTAATATCTTAAAATACATATTTTTATACTAGGCTGAAAATCCACTACCCTTCTCTCTCTCTCTCACCTTCTTTTCACGTGACCTCCGCTCTGTTTTACCTTTTCTATTCTTTCTTTCACGTGACCTCTGTCCACTCATGTGCCCTCTCAAATCTCGTCGTCATTTTTTTCAAGTTCCTTTTCTTTTTCTCTCTCCTTCCTCCATACCTGCAGCAGAGAGAGAGATTGAGCACAACGATAAAACTTCCCTGAAATTGGAAAGCGATGGAATTGGATCCAAGCCAGATTCCCAATTCATATTCTTAAAAAAGTGAATTAATATATACCAAATAACTCAACTTCATTATTTCAATTTTAATCCTATTTCATGTTAGTCAATTTTAACCCACCAAACATAACTTAAGTGCAGTCGTCATTTTTTTTGCCTTACTATGAAGAGACTCATCCTATTCACACACGCATATTTTGATGTACCTTTTGACCATTAGTTTGGCATTTGGCAACATCACATTGAAATATGAAATTTTTGATCCCCCCCCCCCCACAAACTCTTAACTCTTAAGTAGATTACTTGCCAGCTGATTTCTCTTCTTTTACCAGTCATGGGAGGTGAAGAAAATAGAAAAGTAAAACCAAATGGAGAATAAAAATAAATATTTAGACATTGAATAGAGTCATATAAATAGAGCATTTTTTTTAATGCTGCTACGTATATGACTCTATTCATTGTATAAATATTTAGCTTTATAATGGTGCTTTTCTTGTACTAGCCCCCAACTTGAATAATGAATAGAGTCATATAAAATATAAATAGAAGTGGAGAGTGTGTAATTTTCTTAGGGTCCCAATTTGATGAGCTATCAATTTCAAACAACTTAATACCATTTTTAGTCTTACAAAAAGAGAGGCATGGATACCAACTTCAACAACGCATTGGCTTTCATGAATCTTGATTAGTACCACAAACCCCAACTCCGCCAATAGCCCACAAGAACTATAAGGAACAAGCAGGAACCACCAGCAGCAGCCCATATAGGAGTAAAGACAAGAACCCTTACCAGATTTGAATCAAATAGAATAGATCTTCAACACCAAAGTTGCCTTCGAACTAGAATCTCATAGTCCTTGAACCTTCAAGAGTGGGTGCATCGGGGCGAATCTTAACAATACACAATTCACAATTCTCTATCGGACCTTCAAACCATCTTTCTTCATGCCGTCTTCTTTCTTTCCTTCACCAACAAACCCATAAAACCTACCCAATAAATCATGGCCACCATCAACGAAAATATGAAAACATGACTCATCTTAAACCCATGAACACAAACCCTCAACCTAAACAACCTTCCCTCTGACCCATGTCATAGAGAGAGGCGTCGGGCACTAGAAAGCACGGCGGCACACAAAACACTCACAAGACAAAGGGACCGAACTCCCAAACTTCATAGGAACACTTGTCTTGTCCGGATTTTTGTATGCTTACTAATGGAGAATTTGGAAATAACATTTAAATCATCAAAATTTGGAGAAACGTGAGAAATGATCATGAGAAGAGATTGGAATTAATCATTGAAAAAATATTCATAAGTGATTGCATAATGAATGAGGAATATTTTTGGGGCATAAAGAAGAAAATTAGAATATGAAGGAAACGATATTTTTTGGGGGCATAAAGAAGAAAATTAGAACATGAAGGAAACGAATATTTGGAAGAAGTATGTTAATATTGGTGAGTAGAAAATATCTAAAAGAATTAATTATAAAACTTGAAATATTAAAAACTTTAGAAAATACCATTTTTTCGGTATAAACCATTTAGTATCTTGGGATATCCTGGGTTCATTGCCAGTCCCAGACTAATCCGGACTCTTCTTGAGGAGACCTTACGGTGGTAGTAAAGTATCGATAGGATGACCTCTTTAAGGTCACGTTAATTATCACGTCTATCACTCTCTAGTGTTCGAACCATCACTCTCTAGTGTTCGAACCATTGCCCTAAAAAATGTCAGTAGTAGTCCTTGACAACTCTACCGAATGTCCATTAGTGAAAATACCATTTTCTTCCCACCGAGATTCCACAATATCAAATCCACAAGCCCAATTTGAGCCCACATAATGTAAGTCTTACCGTTTTTTTTTTTTTTATATACACACACATTGAGTTAATTCAATTTTTTATTTCTTCTTTAATCAAAACAGTAGGTTCTAGTATAGAGAACCTAATATTTACCGGTGAAGTTTTATAAATGAATTTGTGTATTTAGCTGTGTATAAATTTAAGTGATGATATTATGTTTAATTATTTTGGGAGATATAATATATATATATATATATAGTTCCATAATTTCATTGAGCTGAAACTATGGAAATAGATTGCAAATATGTTTATAACTCAACTATAATCGTGGATGGATTATATTTTGCTATTAAGATAAGTACTTGTCCAAGGTACAAGGTTAGTAAAGGTGTTGTAGTAGTTATACGGTGATTATTACTTTGAATTTTGGATTCTTATAGAGGACAATTCAAGCTTCAAATAAAGTCTGAAATCATTAAATTTGAAAATATATATTATGATATATGATTTTTACAAGATAATATCATAATTCTGGGGGAAAAAAACTAGAGGTAACTGCAACAGTGAGGAACAAAAATTCCTCAATAAATGCTAGTTGTTAATATGAAGTCGTGGATTATTTTTCTTTTAAAGAGAACTTCCTAAGCTTGATTTAGAAAGTTAAATGACCTTATTATAATTTTTATAGAATTAGTTATAATTTTTGTAAGTTGATGAAGGATTTTAAAAAATGCATGTGTTTAAAAGATTAAATCGGTATTTTTCAATTTATGATCTTTGATACTTGGAGATTATTAAGGCTCATAATGATTCTTACAAGTGATTCTTGTTTAAAAGAGTTAAAATAAATAAGATGTTGCAAATACTACTGGGATTGACCCCGGTGTCGTGTCATGGTAATTTGCTACAAGCAAATCCCTGGCTTTCGCTAGTATTACAAATGGTTGTAACTGTTTTTCATTATTCTTTGTTTTTCATTTCTTTTTCTTTGTTTTTCATAATTCATGCAGGAATTAACAGATTTCATTATTACAAACACTAAAAATCAGGAAACAGAGAGACCGTATAGAAACACAAAACAAAAATAAACAAAACGACCAAAGTTCAGGAACTAACAAGAGAACCACAATCAGAGTAGAGCTAAAACAGATGGATCATGGAAAAGCTCTTCTCTTTTGAAGTTCGAGCCATCGATCGTCAGCCTCATCACTGAACAATAAACTCTGATTCGTCCTGATTAACAAGCCCTCCTTCAAGATGAACACTCGGACCTTGATCGATAAAGTTGAAGAGTTTGAGCAAGCCATATACATATTGAACATAAACTGACACTGTATGTACGAGTGCTTTACTGCATTATATTTACATGGTCTCTTAATTTTTCATCTCTGATGTCAATCTCAATATCTCCATGACTCTCAATTAACATGAATTCTATCTTGCAGATTGAAAGCTGTTGAACAAGTCGAAGGATAGAATTCGTGGTAATTAAGAGGTATGGAGATATTGAGATTGACATCAAAGATGAAAAACCGAGAGACACAGGAGATCAATGAACTGAAGTAAAGCACAGATACACAGAGCTTGTGACATGAATGGCGGATTCTTATATAGCAGTTGATTGAAGGTTTGGAAAATAAAACAAATAGTAATTGGAAAAAGCCTCTTCTTTTCCTCTCGATTTCCAGAGTGTTTTGAATCTGATCAATCGCGGAGCACATTAATTAATTAAGTTACCAGAAATGTGGCCTTTTTTTTTTTCTGATTTTTATGGTTGGCATATTAAATTCTCTTTCATCTATAAAGAATTATGTTAAAATCACATATAAAAAAATTAACTATTATAAAATTTATTGCCAATTAAATTAAAGTCATTAACAACTCATTGGCCTAATTCAATTATTAATAAAATTTATAATAATTAATTTCATTGGGTGAGATGTATATATAATTTTTTTTTTATTATTCAAGGAGAATCACATCTCCCTATGCTTTTGTGAGAACCTATGATTAGAATTTTTTTTCCAATTTATATTATAAAATACATTCAAAAAGATAGTAATATTTCTATTTTTTCAATACAATTATTTATCATTTATCGACTGAGGCACTGAGCCCTTGCTAGTTGAGCTAGTACTCATTGATTAGAGAAATTAATATTCTTTAACATAAAATATTTAATGGAGTGTTAATTAATTTTTTTAATATTACTCATATTTAAATTCATTAACTATAAGAGACAATATAATACAAATTTTAAAAAAAATCACTTAAATATGGGTGAAAATGGAAGCTTATTTTTTTTTAAACAAAATTAATGATTTTGCAACCTTTTTCTTGATCTTGGTGTGATAGTTTAAAAAATATTCCCTCCATCCCAAATTATAAGACATTTTTGAAAGAGTTTCTCCTTCTCAAAATATAAGACACTTTTGGTAGATTAAGATTTTATTAAATGCACAATTTTAATATTATCCTTTCTCTCTTTATAATTAATTTCTATCCCTTTTCTTTTCAATTTATTAAATGATGGATATTTTTAAAAGTTTATATTTTTATCTTAAAAATAAAAGGTTGTTAAGTGTATTTAATAAGATTTATTAATATGTAAGATTTCATTTAAAAGTATCTTATAATTTAAGACGGAGGAAGTATGAAGCATATTGGATCGTTCAACATGTAATTAATGAATTTAAAAAAAAAGATCCTAAATAAGAGTGCAACTAATAAGATTTTTTAATTTAAAAAGAACAATTCAATTAAAAGTATCTTATAACATTGAAGGTATGGACTAGTTAGTTAATATTTTATTATAAAAAGATCAATTAATAAAAAAAATTATTTTTTTAATTATATTTATAAATCACTTCTAGCATGTTTTACATAAATTAAAAAAAATTTCAAGTCTCATTAATTTTGTCTAAAAATTTAATAAATTTTCATCTTTATTCTTAATAAATATTTTTAAATTTTATTATTAATATTTTTATTTACAAAATTTAATAAAAATAAAAATGTAAAGATAAATATTGAAATTTAACAAATGTTATATAAATAGTATCAAATTTTTTATTTTATCAGAAGAGGAGTAATTTACAACGCATAAGTTTGCAAGACTACTAAAAGCAAAAAAATATTAAATGAAATAGACCCGGGGGGGGTGTGGGGAGTTAGCACCTGAACAACTTGCCTTTTATGGAAAAATATTCGTCTTTACATTAAATAAGGAAAAAAAATAAAGATAAACATTATCTTTCTCTTTCATTTTCTTGTAGCACCTTCTCCTCGTCATTATTTTCCCCACCATATTTATTTTTTTGTTTCTAAAATTGGCCTGGAGTTTAGTTCGACCTTACACTATGCTTCTCTCTCCCCCTTTCCCTATCTTTATCAATGAGGGAATAATAATAAAGTGTTAAATTAAAAATTAAAAAAATAAATTCTAAAAAAAATTTATAAATAAATTATAAATAATGATTCTAACAGGTATAAATATAAATTCCAATTATGAAATATGAGTTACGTTTAAAATTTTTAAATATTTTATTTATAATTAAAACTTTGAAATTTAAAACTATCCAAATTAACATTTATAATTTAATTTTTGAAAAATTTCATCCAAGTTCCCGCTGTCATAATTTTCTTCTCGGGACTTGCCATTCGCCGATTAATAATCGAGACTGAGGCGGTGAGCAGTGAGCTGATAACTTGATATCCCCGATTCCGCTTCTCTCCTCTGCCTCCTCCGCATTGTCAACTGTCAAGAAGATTTGGACCACTAAATTTAAGGTTTTAATTTTAATTTTAATTCTCATTTATTAAAGAAAAATTAAGGAATTTAATTATTATTCTAGACAATTCTGTCCGAATTTAATATCAAAATTTTTATTATTTTTATAAAGTGAATGTCTAAAATATATATGAATGGTGTGGATTTAAAATTTTTAATTTATAATTTTTTTGAAAGTACATGTTACTCCATTCGTTTAAAAATATAAAATATTTTTTAAAAGTTAGATGTTAAAAAATATAAGATATTTTTAATTTTTTGTAGTTGTAATTATTATTTTTTAAAAAAATGTCCTTATTGATGAATGATTTTATATTTATTCTAAGATATTTAATAAGGATAAATATAAAAAAATAAAATTAATTTAAAAGTAAGTAATTATTTTATTAAAAGATGAAATTCAATTAAAAAAAACTATCTTTGTTAACGGAGAGAATAATAAATTATATTTACTTTTAATTTTAATATTGTATTACAAAAATAATTTTTAAATTATAAAAAAATTAATATTAAACATGCACCGTTTGAAATATAATATTAAATTTAAATTCTCTATGCGAGTGTTTAGATTTATTAACTTTTATTTTATTTTTTTTAAAAAAAATTTAAAAATAACTTTTAAAAATGTAAAATATTTTTAATTTTTTGAGATATAATTATTATTATTTTTAAAATATTTTTATTAATAATAACTTTATATTTATTATAGTGTATTTAATAAAATAAATATTAAAAAATTAATTTAAAAATAAATAATTATTTTATTGAATAAAATTTAATTTAAAATACCTTAGCCGCGTGCATTTCCGTGTACTGAGACAGGCTGGCATAAAAAAATCAACATCGCTATCAATGTTGACACAGATGGCAGTTGGCCACCAAAACACGCCATAATTGATAATCCTCCACTGACCACCCCACCAGCCGCCCTCCCAATTATCCTTTATCATTTTTATTTGAAAGGATCACCTTCACCCATTATTTAAAAAAATTATTCACAATCAAATATCACTGCTCCTTCCGCATGAATATATAAAACATTTTTTAAAAAATTAAATATTAAAAAATATAAAATATTAAATTTTTAAATCACTTATAACTCAGTCCCTTAACTATAACTCGCTGTGACTCAGTCCCTCAACTATAACTCGCTTATAATTCAATCTCTCAATTTTTGAATCACTTACAAATTAGTATCCAAACTTTTGTTAATTTTTTTTTATGTTAGCTTATATTTCACATCGATGAGTAAGAGAAGGGTATTTTAGAATAATATATAAATATTTTTTTATTCCTCTTATTTGATAAAAAATTTTAAAAAAATAAAAAATAAGGACTGAATTATAGGTGAATCGAAAGTTAAGGGACTGAGTCGCAACAAGTTATAGTTGATGGACTGAATTGCAACGAGTCATAATTAAGGGATTGAGTTACAAACGAATTAAAAGTTAAAAGATTAAAATATTAATTTTTTCAATTCTAAATAATTAAAATAAACATTTGTTACCTTTTTAAAATTAAGACTTAATGTGTGTTTTTCACTAAATTTCATTCTCTCTCCCTCTCCTATACTCATCTAGAGACATTGTACATTAGGCTCTATTTTTTTCAAAAGTAATGAATGTTAGTTTTAATTTAACAGTAGGCTTGAAATTGTCATTAATTGATCAGGGTTCAAAATATATCAAATATCAGTTTAAGATTTAAATTGCCCTCGAATTTATAATTTGAATCCAAATTGCTTATTAAATCTTTTATATTTTTATTTTATATTTATAGAAAAACACAATCTTTGATTTTTACGGTTTCATTGGGTTTTGTTTTTAGTTTTTATAATTTTTGTCAATGTTTTTGGTCCTTGTAATTTTAGAAAAATTAAGTGACCTTTATTTTAGATTCTTATAATTTTTATTTTTTTTCAGTTGTCACTATAAAAACTGAAAATATTAAAAAAATACAAGAATTAAAAGTAAAACTTGATAAAATTATAGGACTAAAGATTATGTTTTTTTTTTATATTTATTATTAAAAAACACACAATCAAACCAGAGCTAAAACATATCAATCATGGAAAACCTCCTTGATCGCTTTTGAAGTTGGAACCATCCATCATCAGCCTCATCGCTGAAAAAAAAAAAATCTGATGCGTCGTGATTAACAAGCCCTCCTTCAAGATCAACACTCGGAACACGATCAAGTTGCAGAGTTTTAGCAAGCCACATTGAATACAATTTGCCAAATAATAATAATAAAAAAGAAAAGAATACAAACTGTATGTACATGTGCTTTAATGCATTAGATCTTGGTGTGTCTCTTGGTTTTTCATATCTGATACTAATCTCAATATCTCCATGACTTTCAGCTAGCATAAATTCTTTCCGTCAAATCCAAAGCTGTTAAGCAACTTGGAGGATAGAATTCGTGGTAACTTAAAGGACAAAGAGATATTGACATTAACGTCAAAGATAAAAAACCAGAATTAAGCCTTTTTTTTCTGACTTTGGATTATTAGTCATCCTCCATCTCCCTATGCCTTTTTTTTTTTTTTTTAATGCAAGGGAAATCATATCTCCCTGTGCTCTTGCTTTCAATGTTTCTAGCAGTTGATCGATGGCTTGGAAAGTAAAACAAGCACTCCCCTATCCTTTTTATAAACCTCTTTCTTCTAAAAAAAATTCATGATCCTTTTTATAAATTCTTTTGCATTAAAAAGTAAGTCATTAATAAATTTTTTTAATGTTGTCCCTTCACATTTTTTTATAAATGAAAAATAAAAAATTTCATGAAAATGCTTTTAAAA